TCATGCTGCCAAACATGCCCTCGTAAAACTGACTATCCTACCGATCCTTGACTTCGGCGATGTCATTTACAAAATAGCCTCCAACACTCTACTCAGCAAATCGGATGTAGTCTATCACAGTGCCATCCGTTTTGTCACCAAAGCCCCATACACTACCCACCATTGTGACCTGTACGCTCTTGTTGGCTGGCCCTCACTACATATTCGTCGCCAAACCCACTGGCTCCAGGTCATCTATAAATCACTGCTAGGCAAATCCCTGTCTTATCTTAGCTCACTGGTCACCATAGCAACACCCACCCGTAGTCTGCGCTCCAGCAGCTATATCTCACTGATCATCCCCAAAGCCAACACCCCCTTTGGCCGCCATTCCTTCCAGTTCTCTGCTGCCAATGACTGGAACGAACTGCAAAAATCTCTGAAGCTGGAGTCTCTTATCTCCCTCACTAACTTTAAGCGTCAGTTGTCAGAGCAGCTTACAGATCACTGCACCTGTACACAGCCATTCTGAAATTAGCCCAACCAACTACCTCATCCCCATATTGTTATTTATTTTGCTAATTTGCACCCCAGTATCTCTAATTGCACATCATCTTTTGCATATCTATCATTCCAGTGTTAATACGAAATTGTAACTATTTTGCACTATGGCCTATTTATTGCCTTACCTCCATAACTTACTACATTTGCACACACTGTATATATATTTTCTGTTGTATTTTTGACTTTATGTTTTGTTTACCCCATATGTAACTCTGTGTTGTTGTTTTTATCGCACTGCTTTGCTTTATCTTAGCCAGGTCGCAGTTGTAAATGAGAACTTGTTCTCAACTGGCTTACCTGGTTAAATAAAGGTGAAATAAATAAATAAATAATAAATATGTAAAGATCTGTTTTTCTGGCATCTGATTAGTGCTGAACCAATGACCATGACATATTACAGAGGACCTACCTCTTACATTGGAAAACATTAGATTTAGTGGGCTGTATAATTTAACCTGAGATCTGGGGGAATTTCCATACATCTGGTCGATGTTGGCAGCCACAGTATATTTGATGTTATCTCTGTGATGAGGGATACTCTGCCAAACACCAGTGGTTTTATAAAGATAAAATCCTAACATGGTAAGTGAACTGTCCTTGTATGTTAGATCCCCAACATACCTACTGTAGGGGTACAACACAAACTGTCTAGACACTAATGGTTTCATTCTGTTATAATTTTTCTGAGGGGCAAGACCAACCTTATTACATTGAGGGTATACAGTGCAATATCTACTGTACTTACCAATAATAATTTCCTTGTGAGCATCAAAATATGTCATGTCATTTCCAGGAACAGCACTTTTGAAACATAAGGTATTCTGGCATGGCACTGTCAGATCCTTCGGCTTGGTAGAATGAAAACACTCTCCCTCTTTCTTTCTCTTTGTCTCTCTCGCTCCTCACTTATGCTATTGTAGAAACATTCTTGAGTTTAATAGTGCCCCCTGGATCTGTTGACAACTAACAGTCATTGCTAAAATAATTCCGCTAGCTCCCTACAATACACCTGAGAGTTGGCACAAAAATGTAATATAGATTAAAGGGCTTGTACAAACTAGCTGGAGCCTCAGCACTCTACTTATTTTAATGCATATTCATGGAGCCCCACAGTCATAACATTGGCTTTGTATTCCCATGACAGGAAGTCAAAAGTACAGGATGGACTAGACCATGGTCACAGTACTGCACATTTTAGAGAAACCTACCAACCAGGAATTACACCTGGAGGACCAGGTGAGTGTTGAGACCCTCATAGACAAACCAAAGACAGGAAGTGAAACAATAAAGAGTGTGGGGGGGAGGGGGTTAGATCCACAAAAACATCTGCACAGCGTAAATCAGTCCTTTATGGTATGGTGGGAAAGTGCAATAATGATAAAGTGACAGTAATGAAAGCAATGAGAGCTTTATGGCAGAGGCATGTCCTCTCATAGTTGGAACATAACAGGCATCATAGTGTGTTACATCAAGGTCAGGTTTGCGTATGAAAATGATGTATTAGCATAAGATGTGCTCATATGCATGGATGAGCTGTGTCAGTGACTTTATTTCCTCTGATCCTTCCCTTATCTCATCTCATTCATTAATCAGACATTTCATATCGTATAACTAATTATTTAACATATTATGCAGGTATGACATATACATATTAACATTTGCTGGGAGAAATGGCTTGCCTGGAGCATATAAAGAGGTATGATTTATTTAGGTCACAATTGCATTATAATTCATAATCATTTATGATTCAAACGTACAATAAGTACTTGCATATTACACAAAGCATGTATGATTTCTTATTATAATACTTGTTAAGATAATTTAAAAATAGAAAAAAATGAAAAAAATACATAGACTTATCAAAAGGTCAACAATGAGGGAAATGTAGAATAAGATATATAAATTGGTACATAAATATACTGCATATAATAATGTTCAAATAATCCCTTTATTTTAACACCTGAGAATACATATACAATCTCGATCATCAGATATTCACAATCAGACTAAAGCTTCAATCCCTTCTCACTGGAGGATTTGGACAATAAAATATTTAACATTAACATTGAACATTTTAATTTAATTTAATCTAAACTAATATGATTCAAAAAATAATTTCAGAATGGCTATCGGCTATAATGGAGGTGGAATTCCCTTTGAGCTGAAGGTTGGCTGGAACCATGACAAAGTAAGAGTTGCACCGTCATGAAAATATCCTGCTGATATTCTCAAGGCATCATTTATAAAAAGGCAAATGTAGCAAATATAGCTTTGTCCTCTGAATCTATCTAAGGTACCAATGTCCATCCACCCCACAAACCCTGTCAAACAAATAAATACACACGAGAATGTCCTCACGTGTACAGTAAGGTGATATACTTCCTCATAGCATCACCGCCACTTACATTATTCATTATGGGATAAGTATCTTATCATGACAAAAGAATCATACAGATTATTATTGTTTTTCTTATTTTTTGTCATTCATTTTCTATAAAAGTCAAATGAAGGGTTGCATACAGTATATACGGTAAAGAAAACACACATTCAAACAGAAAGTACCCTGATTTTGTCAAAACACTTACATCATACGCAAAAAAATGATGGACTGACTGTTGAAAGGCAATAAGATAAAGGCTGAGAAAAAAGCTAAGTTGTTTGAGTGGAGGTACAGTACAGTAAGCAGTTCTTAGAGGCAGAATTTGGACACCTAGACCTTTAAGGCATCAACCAATCTCTATGGAGCAGTGGTGTTGTTGTAGGCCTGAGGTAAACTCTGCTTGATTCATGTAGTTATAGCCATGGGAATACGGCCTCTCTCTAAAAACTAAGGAATAACAGCTATTCCCTGTCACAACACCTGAGAGATCCAGAACAAACAAAGCAAAAGGTGAGTCTTTCTAATGCTTTGAAGCACATCTCTCTGGATCTATTAGCCTGCGGGCCTCTCCTCCCTCTCCTCCTCTAGCTGTGTCTCTGCTCTGGTCTGGCCTTAAAGCCCCCAGGGGGCACTCCACTGTCTATTCCCCTGACACATTCCCTCTGGGTGGGTGAAACCTTGGATTTCCACTGAAAAGTAGGAAACGTTAAGGTTCTGCATTACTACTTTCATGTCATTCACTCTTTTCTCTCTCAGCAAAAATATTCTACAATTAAGTATGCAATGGCCCCACCAAGGCACTCTCTCTCTCTCTCTCTCTCTCTCTCTCTCTCTCTCTCTCTCTCTCTCTCTCTCTCTCTCTCTCTCTCTCTCTCTCTCTCTCTCTCTCTCTCTCTCTGTCTGTCTCTGTCTCTCTAACCTTTCAATTTTCCTGCTACTGAATTCTTGAACACCTGCTACTGAATTCTTGAACACCTGCTACTGAATTCTTTAAAGCACTCGCTGTCATTCCTCTCTGCATATGGCCCATCTCTGTGGTAGTAACACCTGGCTGGGTCTGCCTCTGCAGCAGCTGCCTGTGTTAGCCTCTGCACCAGCTCTCCCCCTGGCTGTCCCAGATCGACCTGTACAGTGCGCTGCGCTACAGTTCACTACACCGCCTCTGTACCAGAGCCGTGCATGCTGTCTCTCCCATCTGCCTTAGAGAGCAAAAGCACCTGACTAATGTACCAGCCCACTGCTGGTGACTGTGTGTGCTGCTTTTAGACCAGGTAATTAGACCAGCCTAAACAGCCTTCACACTAAGACCCAGGTAGGAACATACAATTGCACTTACTACACTGGTCGATAAACACTCAGGCACTGAACAAACTTGGATAGTGACACCACACAGCATAAGAAAAACAGGGCTGAAGGATGCAGAGACTGTAACACAGCTAAGAGTGTAAAAGAGGAGGTACATACAGTGTGTACATCCGTACACACAAACGTGAAGCAAAACTGACAGTCTCCTTCTGCCTCATTAGACATAGAAGAGCCAGGCTGTAACACTGCCACAATATGAGAGAAACAACAATGCAAGAAACCCAAGCAACTACTGAATATGATACATATTTCTAAGGCACATTTTTATGTTCTAGTTAATGCAATGTGAATAGATGTCCATGGTGTTTGTTGCAGAGAAAGAAAACACAATCCTTAAATTATCTTACAATACAAAAATAAATGTTGAGTATATAGTATAATAAATAAGTCATTTACCATGTTATGTACAGTACTTACACCTGTTCTATTGACATATTTACACATAGGAGGGAATAGAGGTCATTTGGAGGATGGAATCCCGATTACTGTAGCACCACTAAGAGGTTGGACATATTGGCTTGAAGAGATCTGTGAAGAGAGAAAGGGATGCCAAAACCACATACTTTACTATACTATACAAACAGAATACAGGTGACATGTTTAGGAGGAGGAGGAGAATGGTGGTACATATAATAATAGACTGAAGCTATAAAACAGGATCTATTTCTAAAGAATAGTTAGTATTATACACACCTGGTTAAACACTGTAGATTTAGGCCACTGTGATGAGCAGGTAGGAGCCGGAGGACGGAGTGCATTTCCCACAGTAACCCCCACACATTCCTGTTACTCTGCTGCCATCCTGTGGACAAACAAGGAACAATATTTACTCTGCTGTAATACCGTTGTTTTTTTTTGTCAGTTTTTTCGCTTTGGTGCAATTTTCACAAGTATGTGGTACATTTTCACAACTCTTAGTACAAAACTCAAAACAGATAATCAAAAAGGCAGTTGTTTCAAAACTTTAAGCACATTTTATATTGGCTAAGTATAACACAAATTCATAGAGTCACTTTTTCTCCAAATGTAATCAGTGTTTCATCTAGAAATACGTTTCACATTGCAATACATATTCATATAATGTAATTGCCTTTCACAATGCAATGCTCACATTACTTTTGATATGATTCTCTTCTCTTTTATTAAAATACATTTTACTATTACTTAATCCAACGTCTCTTAATTGATGATCACCTAAACATTTGGTAAACCTATAGATTTTACATGTAAACTGGTTTGTCTACTACAGATTTTGAGAACTACACACTTCACACTGCTTTACTAAAATTGCAATGGCCAATACAGTACTGAAATACCGTAATATATGCCATTTACGTAGAAGACGCTTTTATCCAAAGTCACAACAGTCCACACATTAGGGTATGTGACCCCAGTGGGAATCGAACCCACAACTCTGGTGTTGCTAGAGCCATGCTCTTATGAACTGAGCCACGTACAGGACCACTACAATACACAAGTGACTGTGTGTGCTGCTTTTAGACCAGGTAATTAGACCAGCCTAAACAGCCTTCACACTAAGACCCAGGTAGGCACTTACAATGAATATATTTACTGCGATTTCGATGAGAACCTATGGCCAAATGCTCAAGACAGGCTTGATGCAAACTAGTGCCTGCTAAACGTTATGTTTCTTTAATTTATTTCATTAGATTATATTGTGTAAGAAGTCTTCAATTATCACACCTTTGATCACACATGGCATAGACATTATGGAAATGTGATGTTCAGTCAATTTTTATTGGTAGTGCAAGTGTATTTCCTAATGTGAAAACAGTGAAATGTACTGTAATTTACAGCACTGTAGCATACTACATTCAAAGGTCAATTTTGAACCATGTATCTTACATTTTTTGTTATTGGATTTTAACTGGCTGTTAAAATAACTAAATTGAGAAGATATCATTATGTTGTGTTCTGGTGATTAAACCAATGTACTCATTATATTTCACAGTGAACTTGTATTTGGGATCAATTGTTGTGTGGTGAAAGATGTCTACAAACAAAATGAATGCACAATGAAAGGTTTTGAATGTAAGACTGGCTGCGTTACAAGTGTTACCAGTTTGGAGTTTTGTACTAAGAGTTTAGAAAATTCAACACATACTTGTGAAAATAGTACCAAAGCGATAAAACTATAACCAGGATACCACATGGTTTAGTAACAGTAACACAAATCACAATGTATCCACTCATATATCATGAACACTCTTTGAACTTTTGTTGAAGGTGGTTTTAGGGTCTGGTCTTTTTTTTTTTAGGTTCTCTGTGACTACATTGTAAAGGTATTACACACAAATGTAAAATGGGGCCTCTTAATGAATTACATAGAAATGCACAGTAATCAAATAGCATTAGCATAAGCACAGATGTGGAACACTCTCAGCTTAGAAACACACAGGGTAAAACATTGCCCCAGAAATCTATCCCACAGAATGAAAGGAGCGGCATTTCCTCTGAAGTTTGGCAACTCTCATCTTGAGTGCCCTCCACCGCACTTGACTTAAAACAACCAGTGTTCAGTTAACCTTGAGTCCAAAGCTTCACTGGCTTTGAGACAGATTCAACCTTTTTCTCCCTGCCAAAAAGGGTCTTCAGCCTGATCTCCATTACAAAACCAGGAGGGCCCACTTCACTGTGAAGCTGTCCAATAAGGCTGCTCTCTCACCAGGCACGTAACAGCACATTTCCATCCATGATTTACCCCAGTGTTTTACCCAAAAGGCTCAGACTTTTCTGTTTCCATCTACGCAGGCCAGCCCCCTTGTCTCATTGGGCCATTGTTCCAGCAGACCTGCTCTCACTTGGGGCCAAAGACAGGCCACAGGTACTTTTCATTTTTCATTTAATTAACAGTGGCTAACTGTGAACCTTAACACCTTCTCACCAAGCAACTGTTTTGATTAGCAGAGGTTGTTGATGCTGCTCTTCACAAGTCCTCAATGTCAGAACTAGCTATGGTAAATTGTCCCGAGGCTGAATCTAGTTGATGATCCCTGCACTAGTGTAACACTGGTGTTACAGTCGAAAAGCAGCATTAAGGCACCAGGGGAGTCTGAGATACAGAGCCCATTTGGACAAATGCCCAGAGCAGAGGCCCCTCTGAAGCCAAGAGGAACGGTGGGAGGGAGGGAAGGATGGAGAGAGGTAGGGTGGAAGGGAGAGAAGAAAGGAGGAAAGTGGAGAATGATGTTGTCTGAAACCAGGAATGTGAATATAAGACGCTAATCTAAATCACTCTGTCCATGAGGCTATGTGAATGTGCATCATATTGTTACCTGGGATTTGTGTATATCAGCAACTGCATAGTTTCCTTGGGAGATCCACTTGGTTTCCTCAGCTAGCTGGAAGCCTGTCCCTGAGAGGTTGATGCTGAATCGACCCTGAGGAAACAGAGAAGTAGGGAGGAGGGAGGGAAGAAGAGAAAGAGAAAATGAGAGAGAGAGAGGGGGAGAGATATCAGCACCTCCCACCACGCCAACAGCAGAGAGCAGTAGAGAGGAGTTCACTAACATGCAGCAGCTGCATTTACGTTTCATCAAAGCCCAGCTGATATAAGCCTGACAAAACCCAGCGACAAATACCAGACTCTTTACGGTACAAACAGCTATAAACAGAGGGGGGTAGATCATTTAGCCAGAGGTAAGCATCTAGAGTTGAGTGTCTCTTGAAACTCACGTATGGAAGCATAAATATATGTCAAGTTCACAGAGCATGGTGTAGTGTATCGCTAATCTAAATGCGTGGATAAGTGGTGTGTTGTGTTGATCGAAATGAAAACCATATTCAGTAACTCTTGGCGTACAGTGGAATGTCTCTTTACTAACTTATCAAAAACAACATGTTTTGGCAAATAGCTTTTATTGGGGTCTTTTTGGGTAATTGGAAACACATCTCCTGAAAAGTGTGGGGAAAGCGGGTGAAAGGGTGTCTTTGAAGGAAGTAGGGCTGCAGTCTGTGACACTCTGGAGACACATTATTCAGTGCCTTCAGAAAGTATTCGGAGAAGGAGCAGTCGGGAGAGGTCGTGTTTTTCTCTAGCTCTCTAGCTGGAGGTAAGCAAACTTCTCATTTGGTGTTGAGTATAGCTTAACCATGTATTAGATCGTAGGTTGGTAGTTAGTTGTAGTTAGGTATTGTATTTATTATAGGTTAGTATTGTTGTTATTGTAGGTTTCCGTAGGTTATTGTAGGCTAGTATTGAAGCACGAGGCTAGCTAGCTAGCGGGTAGCTACTGGTAACGATTAGCAACGATTAGCAACGGTGGAGAGCTTCCCATATGGTGTTGAGTAAAGCTTAACCATGTATTAGATCGTAGGTTGGTAGTTAGTTGTAGTTAGGCATTGTATTTATCATAGGCTAGTTTTGTTGTTATTGTAGGTTTCCGTAGGTAATTGTAGGTTAGTATCGAAGCACAAGGCTAGCTAGCTAGCGGGTAGCTACTGGTAACGATTAGCTGTTCCCACTGTTAAATGTGCTGCTAGCCAACGTTTAATTTTTGCTGCGTTCTGCGTTATGTAAGGAACTAGACACGGACATGAATTATCTGTTTAGTGTGCTAACACACTCTTGGCAGTTTGTTGTAACCAAGTATTGGTGCTAAATTGTGTGTTAATGGATGCTAGCTTGCTAGTTAGCTACGGCGTCATAGCTAGGTATCGTGGGTAGCTACTGTGTCTTGGCAGTGTCTTCCGCCGTGCCGGCTGTAGCACGAAGCGAGCTAATTAGCCGTTTTTTTCGAACAGAGTCAGAGTCAACACAGTAGCCATTGTGTGCCGGGTGTAGCACGAAGCTAGCTAGCTAGCCGTTCTTCAAACAAAGCCAACACAGTGGCCATTGCTAGCTACCCAACAAGACCAGCGAACGGTACGGTAGTAGCTAATTACAATATACTTGTCCTAGCTAGCCAACGTTGAATCATTGCTGCGTCATGAAAGGAACTTGACACAGACACGAATGATCTGTTTAGTGTGTTATCACACTATTGGTGGTTTGCTGTGACCAAGTGTTTGTGCTAAACTGTGTGTTACTGGATGCTAGCATGCTAGTTAGCTAGTTAACACACTATTGGTGGTTTGTTGTGAGTATTGGTGCTTAACTGTGTGTTAAACTGTGTGTTATTGGATGCTAGCATGCTAGTCAGCTATGGTGTCATAGTTGGCTAGCTGAATAAAGTGGGTTGAGTCTATTCCTTTAAACATTGAACAACTGTGGTTCACAACAATTCTGATTTCTAAAGGTGGAAGTTGGGAGAGTTTTTGTTCGGGTGGTTCAGTGAAACAATTTTAGTTTCTGAGGTAGAAGTTTTTGGTGAGGGAGGCCCCCCTCTCTCCTCTCCCAGATGCTTAGCTCATTTCATTCCGATCTCCTCTGCATTTTTGTAGCCATTTGCTACAGCCTGTCAACTATGCCTCTGCCTATCCCTGTTCTCTCCTCTCTGCACAGGCTACACAAACAACGCACCACACCGCGCGGCTGCTGCCTCTCTAACCTGGTGGTCCCTGCACGCACCCCTCACCTGGAGTTCCAGGTCGCAGGCAGCCTCTGGAACTGCCGTTCTGCTGCCAACAAAGCTGACTTCATCCCAGCCTATGCCAACCTCCAGTCCCTCGACTTCCTGGCGCTGACGGAAACATGGATCACCACTGAAAACACGGCTACTCCTACTGCTCTCTCCTCGTCTGACCATGTGTTCTCGCATACCCCGAGAGCATCTGGTCAGAGGGGTGGTGGTACAGGTATCCTCATCTCTCCCAAGTGGACATTCTCAATTTTTTCCCCTAACCCATCTGTCTATCTCCTCATTTGAATTCCATGCTGTCACAGTCACTAGCCCATTTAAGCTTAATATCCTTGTCATCTATCGCCCTCCAGGTTCCCTTGGAGAGTTCATCAACGAGCTTGACGCCTTGATAAGTTCCTTTCCTGAGGATGGCTCACCCCTCACAGTTTTGGGGGATTTCAACCTCCCTATGTCCACGTTTGACTCATTTCTCTCTGCCTCCTTCTTTCCACTCCTCTCCTCTTTTGACCTCACCCTCTCACCGTCCCCCCCTACTCACAAGGCAGGCAATACGCTTGACCTCATCTTCACTAGATGCTGCTCCTTTTTTCCCCCCCCCTCCAAGTCTCCGCCCAAATTTGTTTCCTTTTTTCCCCCCCTTCCTCCCACACTACTCACTTCCCCCCACCCAAGGTTTCCCCCCGAACCTTGCCTTTCTCTCCCCCCAAAAACTCTCCCTTTTTTCCTATAAACTCTTTCCCCCCCCTTTCCCCCCCCCAAATTTCCCATTCTCCCCCAACCCCCTCCCCCCTTTCCTTTTTCCCCTTTTTTTTCCCCCCCCCCCCCCCTCCCCCCCCCCCTTTTTTCCCCCCCCCCCCCCAAAAAAACCCGGGGGTGGGAAAAAAACCCCCCCCAAAAAAAAAAAACCCCCCCTTTTTCCCCCTCCCTTTCTTTCCCCCCCTTTTTTTTTTTTTTCCCCTTTTCCCCCCCCCTTTCCCCCCCGGGGGCCCCCCCCCCCCCCCCCCCCCCCCCCCCCCCCCCCAAAAAAAAAACCCCAAACCCCAAAAAAACAAAACCCCCTTTTTCCCCCCCCCCCCCCCCCCCACAACCCCCCCCCCCCCCCTTTTCCCCCCCCCCCCCCCCCCAAAACCCCCCCCTTTCCCCCGGGGGCCCAAAACCCCCCAAAAATTTTCCCCCCCCCTTTTAAAAAAAAAACCCCCCCCCTCCCCCTCCCCCCGCCTTTCCCCTTTTTCCCCCCCCCCCCTTTTTTGGGGCCCGGGGGCCCCCCCCAAAAAAAAACCCCCCCTTCCCCCCCCCTTTTTTAAAAAACCCCCAGCCCCTTTCCCTTTTTTTTCCCCCCCCAAAAAAATTTCTTTAAACCCCCCTTCCCTTTTCCCCCGGGGCCCCCCCAAAAAAAAAAATTTAAAAAAATTTTTTTAAAAAGGGCCCCCCGGGAAAAATTTTTCCCCCCCTTTTCCCTTTTTTCTTTCCCAAAAATTTTTCCCCAAAAAACCCCCCCCCCGGGGGGGGGTTTTCCCCCCCAAAAAAAAAACCCCCCCCCCGGGGGGTTTTTCCCCCCCCCCCTTTTTTGGGCCCCCCTTTTTTCCCCCCCCTTTTCCCCCCCCTCATTTGGGTTTCTTCCCCCAAAATTTTTTTTGGGGGGGGAAAAAAAAATTTTTTCCCCCCTTTCCCCCCCCCGGGGGGGCCCCCCCTTTTTCCCCAAAAAAGGGGCCCCCCTTTTTTTTAAAAAAATTTTTTAAAAAATTTCCCCCCCCTTCCCAAAAAAGGGGGGGGCCCCCTCCCGGGGAAACCTAAGGGGGGGGAAAAAAACCCCCTTTCCCCCCCAAAAAAAAGGGGCCCCCCCCCCGGGAAGGGCCCCCCTTAAACCCCCCCCCCAAAAAAGGGGGGGGGGCCCCCCCCGGAAAACCCCCCCCCAAAACCCCCTTTCCCCCTTTTTTGGGGGCCCCCCCGGGTTAACCCCAAAAATTGGGGGGGGCCCCCCCCCAAAAAACCCCCTTTTCCCACCCCCCCCCCCCCCCAAAAAAAAAATTTTCCCCCCTGGCCCTTTTTTTCCCCCCCCAAAAAGGGCCCCTTGGGGGGGAAAGCCCGTTCCATGATCTCGCCATCACGGTTGACAACTCCGCTGTGTCCTCCTCCCAGAGTGCGAAGAGCCTAGGCGTGACCCTGGACAACACCCCTGTCGTTCTCCGCCAACATCAAGGCGGTGACCCGCTCCTGCAGGTTCATGCTCTACAAACATTCGGAGGAGTGCGACCCTGCCTTACACAGGAAGCGGCGCAGGTCCTGGTCCAGGCACTTGTCATCTCCCGTCTGGACTACTGCAACTCGCTGTTAGCTGGGCTCCATGCCTGTGCCATTAAACCCCTACAACTCATCCAGAATGCCGCAGCCCGTCTGGTGTTCAACCTTCCCAAGTTCTCTCACGTCACCCCCCTCCTCCGCACACTCCACTGGCTAGTTGAAGCTCGCATCCGCCTACAAGACCATGGTGCTTGCCTATGGAGCAGTGAGGGGAACGGCACCTCTGTACCCTTCAGGCTCTGATCAGTCCCTACACCCCCAAACGAGGACATTGCGTTCATCCACCTCTGGCCTGCTGGCTCCCCTTCCTCTGCGGAAGCATAGCTCCCGCTCAGCCCAGTCAAAACTGTTCGCTGCTCTGGCACCCCAATGGTGGAACAAGCTCCCTCACGACGCCAGGACAGCGGAGTCACTCACCACCTTCCGGAGACATTTGAAACCCCACCTCTTTAAGGAATACATGGGATAGGATAAAGTATTCCTTCTAACCCCCCCCCCCCCCCCCCCCCAAATTGTAAAGTGGTTATCCCACTGGCTATAGGGTGAACGCACCAATTTGTGAGTCGCTCTGGCTAAGAGCGTCTGCTAAATGACGTTAATGTGCCCTTGAGCAAGGCACTTAACCCTAATTGCTCCTGTAAGTCGCTCTGGTTAAGAGCGTCTGCTAAATGACTAAAATGTAAATGTAAATGTAAATGTATTCATATCCCTTGATTTACTACATATTTTGTTGTGTTACAGCCTGAATTCAAAATTGATTAAATATATATTTTTTCTCAATAATCTACACACAATAGCCCATAATGACAAAATGAATTTGCAAATCTATTGAAAATGCAATAGAGAAATATTTCACTTAAATAAGTATTCACACCCCTGAGTCAATACATGCTAGAATCACCTTTGGCAGGGATTACAGCTGTGAGTCTTTCTGTGTAAATCTTGGATTATACAATATTTGCACATTATTCTTAAAAAAATTATTCAAGCTATTAAGTTGGTTGTTGATCATTGCTAGACAACCATATTCAAGTCTTGCTATAGATTTTCAAGCCAATTTAAGTCAAAACCTTAACTAGACCACTCAGCAACATTCAATGTCATCTTGGTAAGCAACTCCAGTGTATATTTGGCCTTGTGCTTTACGTTATTGTCCTGCTGAAAGGTGAATTAGTCTCCCAGTGATTTTGCCTGTGCTTAGCTGTATGCCATTTATTTTTATCCCAAAAAACTCCCTAGTCCTTGCCGATGACAAGCATACCCATAACATGATGCAGCCACCACCATGCTCTAAAATATGAAGACCGGTACTCTGGTGATGTGTTGTGTTGGATTTACACCAAACATAAAACTTTGTATTCAGGACATAAACTTAATTTCTTTGCCACATATTTTGCCGTTTTACTTTAGTGCCTTATTGCAAACAGGAGGCATGTTTTGGAATATTTATAATTCTGTACAGGCTTCCTTCTTTTCACTCTGTCATTTACAGTGGGGAAAAAAAGTATTTAGTCAGCAACCAATTGTGCAAGTTCTCCCACTTAAAAAGATGAGAGAGGCCTGTAATTTTCATCATAGGTACACGTCAACTATGACAGACAAAATGAGAAAAAAAATCCAGAAAATCACATTGTAGGATTTTTTATGAATTTATTTGCAAATTATGGTGGAAAAAAATAACACTTTGTTATATACCCTTTGTTGGCAATGACACAGGTCAAACGTTTTCTGTAAGTCTTCACAAGGTTTTCACACACTGTTGCTGGCATTTTGGCCCATTCCTCCATGCAGATCTCCTCTAGAGCAGTGATGTTTTGGGGCTGTCGCTGGGCAACACGGACTTTCAACTCCCTCCAAAGATTTTCTATGGGGTTGAGATCTGGAGACTGGCTAGGCCACTCCAGGACCTTGAAATGCTTCTTACGAAGCCACTCCTTCGTTGCCCGGGTGTTGTGTTTGGATTCATTGTCATGCTGAAAGACCCAGCCACGTTTCATCTTCAATGCCCTTGCTGATGGAAGGGGGTTTTCACTCAAAATCTCACGATACATGGCCCCATTCATTCTTTCCTTTACACGGATCAGTCGTCCTGGTCCCTTTGCAGAAAAACAGCCCCAAAGCATGATGTTTCCACCCCCATGCTTCACAGTAGGTATGGTGTTCTTTGGATGCAACTCAGCATTCTTTGTCCTCCAAACACGACGAGTTGAGTTTTTACCAAAAAGTTATATTTTGGTTTCATCTGACCATATGACATTCTCCCAATCCTCTTCTGGATCATCCAAATGCACTCTAGCAAACTTCAGACGGGCCTGGACATGTACTGGCTTAAGCAGGGGGACACGTCTGGCACTGCAGGATTTGAGTCCCTGGCGGCGTAGTATGTTACTGATGGTAGGCTTTGTTACTTTGGTCCCAGCTCTCTGCAGGTCGTTCACTAGGTCCCCCCGTGTGGTTCTGGGATTTTTGCTCACCATTCTTGTGATCATTTTGACCCCACGGGGTGAGATCTTGCGTGGAGCCCCAGATCGAGGGAGATTATCAGTGGTCTTGTATGTCTTCCATTTCCTAATAATTGCTCCCACAGTTGATTTCTTCAAACCAAGCTGCTTACCTATTGCAGATTCAGTCTTCCCAGCCTGGTGCAGGTCTACATTTTTGTTTCTGGTGTCCTTTGACAGCTCTTTGGTCTTGGCCATAGTGGAGTTTGGAGTGTGACTGTTTGAGGTTGTTGACAGGTGTCTTTTATACTGATAACAAGTTCAAACAGGTGCCATTAATACAGGTAACGAGTGGCGGACAGAGGAGCCTCTTAAAGAAGAAGTTACAGGTCTGTGAGAGCCAGAAATCTTGCTTGTTTGTAGGTGACCAAATACTTATTTTCCACCATAATTTGCAAATAAATTCATTAAAAATCCTACAATGTGATTTTCTGGATTTTTGTTTCTCAATTTGTCTGTCATAGTTGACGTGTACCTATGATGAAAATTACAGGCCTCTCTCATCTTTTTAAGTGGGAGAACTTGCACAATTGGTGGCTGACTAAATATTTCTTTTCCCCACTGTAGGTTAGTATTGTGGAGTAACTACAATGTTGATCCATCCTCAGTGTTCTCCTATCACAGTCATTCAACTCTGTAACTGTTTTAAAGTCACCATTGGTCTCACAGTGAAATCCCTGAGCTGTTTCCTTCCTGTCCGGCAACTGAGTTAGGAAGGTGGCCTGTATCTTTGTAGTTACAGGGTGTATTGATACACCATTCAAAGTGTAATGAATAACTTCACCATGCTCAAAGGGATATTCAATGTTTTTATTTTTTACCCATCTACCAATAGGTGCCTTTGCGAATCATTGGAAAACCTCCCTGGTCTTTGTGGTTAAATCTGTGTTTGAAATCCACTGCTCGACTGAGGGACCTTACAGATAATTGTATGTGTGGGGGTACCGAGATTAGGTAGTCATTCAAAAATCATGTTAAACACTATTATTGCACACAGAGCGAGTGCATGGAACTTGTGACTTGTTAAGACATTTTTTAAACCTGAACTTATTTAGGCTTGCCATAACAAAGGGGTTGAATACTTATTGACTCAAGACATTTCAGCTTATCATTTTTTATTAATTAACAAAAATGTCTCAAAACATAATTCAACTTTGACATTATGGGGTATTGCGTGTATGCCAGTGACACAAAATCTCAATTGAATCCATTTTAAATTCAGGCTGCAACACAACAAAATGTGGAAAAAGTCAAGGGGTGTGAATACTTTCTGAAGGCACTGTATTTGCTGCACATTGGGAGCTGGATGGGACTGTGGGAAAGGTGACATACACACACAGTAGAACCCCTTCTTCATACACTGTCTGGAGCTTGTGCTTGCATACACACGTGTACACATATACACATAAACGCATGGTAAGCACACACATCCACAGACACCCTCCACAGTCTTGTACCGGTGCACTCCCTCACACCACAGGATGTTGGTGGCACCTTAATTGGGGGTGACAGGCTCGTGGTAATGGCTGGAGCAGAATAAGTGGAATGGTATCAAATACATCAAACACATGGTTTCCATGTGTTTGATGCCATTCCATTTGCTCCTGTGCCTCACACACTCCCCTGTCTCTGGTATGAGGGCAGACCCCAGATGAGGCAGACATTGCACAACACCAGAAAGACATGGGGCTAATACAGTCTCACATACAGCATCTGTGGTGAGGGGAGAGAGTGTAGAGGGACAGCACATGGTGTGTGTGTTTGCCAGCTGTAGACAGGGGGTATTGTGTGTGTTTGCCAGGGCTTGGTGTGTTTGCTTGTTTGAGTTTGTGTTTGAGTTTGGTTTGTGTTTGTGTTTGTGTTTGTCTTTGTCTTTGTCTTTGTCTTTGTCTTTGTGTGTGTGTGTTTGTGTGTGTGTGTGTGTGTGTCAGTCGTCTCCTCTCACAGACTAACAGGATCTGATCTGCAGAAACTGGCACAGGCAGGGAGTGTGTCCAAATCTCCTCTCAGACAGACGGGCTTCTCTGTTCTCAGGCCATGTGTGTCTGCTCTGCTCGGTCCCCACTCACAGAACACACCCCTGCTCTCTTTGTTCACAATATCACCACACTCAGAATCTCACTAACCTCTTGAGCATTAGGTTCTGCTGGAACTAAGCACACATTGAACTCAACAGCACAATTAGATGGTCAGACACACTATCAAAGACACAGCTGGTAAACAAGATGAACCAAGACTAGTTAAGTCCATACAAGTCCTTAGTCCTAACCTCAGAACTCACACCTTAGTGAAGACTTGAGTCAAACCTTTTATTCTCCACTAGTTCTCTCCCAGTGGCTCCCTGGCCATGCAGTTCTTACCTGTGGACACCGGGAAGCGCTGTAGCAGTCTCCAGCAGTGGCAAAGGGAACTCTGTGGCCCTCGCGTGTGAAAGCAAACTGCCAGTCTATGGCTGAATGACAAGAGTGAGAAATAATGGCAGAGCACATTAGTAAACATGACAGAGGCTTGTTGAAAACTGAATCTGGAACATAGCTCGGTCTGTTTGACTGGTCAGCATCACTACGACAGCTCACATAACAGCAAAATAACAGCCTGCATCTTCCAAAATGAGTACACTTTCACATAACCTGAATCCAGTCTTGCTTTTAGGGGTCAGCATAATGGCAATATCAGTATAATTCCATCTACTTAGTGCAATTTAAACTAATCCCCTCAGGCCCTTTATTTGTGTGCTCCTAAAAGACATCTTGATCCCATTAACCCCACTATGCTTGGACTTACTGAAATGTCTCTGTGAGGATGGAGAGGAGTGGGGAGGAGGCTCTGACTTCACAGCATGTTGGGGGAGTCAAGCATGGTACTCTGACACTAGCTGGTTAGCGTTGACATTCAGGTTAGTGCAATGAACTCTGATGTAGTGTGTGTGTGTGTGTTGCAATAATTGACTGTAATTGGTAGGGTAGTCTATGTGGCCTTGCTGAATGTGTTCTGCAACTGGTTCTGGCCCACTCACTGATGATGTGCATCTTGCTGAGGTCCAGTCGTACTCTGGTGAAGGTGGAGAGGCCAGCAGCAGTGTAGTCTCTCCTACACTCACAGTCCTCTCTCCTGGTCCCGTTAGCAGGGCACTGTGTGGGGTCTATCAGTCTGGAGAGAAAAAGAGCAAACACACTGTCACAACCAAGTTCATATAAAATGTGTCCTCCACACTTTTGACAGTGCCCATTACATGATGATAAATGAAGCAATCCACAGCCCCATAGGTTGCTTTACCTGAAGCCAAAGACTTCAGAGTAGTTCTCTCCCTCTCCGGTCGTCAAGGTGATGTACTCCCGCGGCCTGTCAGTCTGCATTCCTGCACAGTAGACCTGAGGAGGAAGAGGAGGTGGAGAAGGAGGATGAGGGGGAGGATTTTGGAGAGGATGGGGAGAGGGAGGAAGGGGTGAGGAACCAGCCCAGAGATTAAAATCAAAACCTCTTCAGGACGACACACGCTATTTCTAAACTTGACCTGGGTTGGCCTGGTTCTCAAATGGACAGCCAGATAGCCAGACAGCCAGCCAACCAGACAGACAGACAGACAGAGTCTAAAGAACTTCCCTTCAGTTTCAGTCATTTTCTAATGTATTACATCTGTCAGTGAGACTACACCAGACTGTGAAACCAAGTATGATCACTGGCCAACAGGGTTTTTGTTGACTGACATTGGCATAGATACCCTCTCTATTCATTTACCATTTCCATTTTCAAAATAAGTCAGTAATCACTATATAAAATGTTATAAAATGGTGCACCATGCACTTAATAAGAAAGATGATACCATAGTCTTACTTTGAGTGCTTTTCCTTGTATGTTGAGAAACTGTTCACCATCAGGCTGGACGCCAGACAGACTCTGGACATCACTGCAGCTAGTGGGCAGATGGCCTAAGAGAGAGAACAAAGGACATATTTAGGAGAGATATAGCTATGTTACAGAGGTGTACCACACACATACTGTATCACAAGAGTTACAGAGGTGTATCACACATATACTGTATCACAGGAGTTACAGAGGTGTATCACACATATACTGTATCACAGGAGTTAGGTCAAGAAGAGGCTGTGGACGCTGAGGCTACTGTTCTGTATGTCTACTCACAGGCAGGGCTGCTGCAGACTTTGCTGGCTTCTGGTTTAGTGTCTGAGGGACAACTGTCACTGCCTTGTCCCTCAGTAGAAACACACTGCACTGTCCTCTCCATCACTCCATCTCCACAGCTTACTGAACACTGAGGGGGAGAGAAGAGCAGGAGTAAGGGAGCCTGCCAGGATGAAAAAAGCACTACAATTTGAAAAACATACTGTAACACTGATAATACATAGAGACTGGAAGCCACTCACAGGTCCCCAGACTCCAACTCGCCACTCCTGTGTTGGAGGACAGGGGCCTTGGCTACACGGCATGTAGCTCTCAGGGGGGGTCCCAGGGCAGTTGGATAAAGACTGATGCCCATACTCATAGTTATCATTCCCAGCATGCACCTCACTGCAGGAGACCAGGCGTCTGTTGTATCCCTGTCCACAGCTGGCCGAACACTGCCACGGGAGAGAGAAAATGCGATAAGATAACAACACTGCAATCAAGCACGATCAGATAGGACAGTAATGTTAGATAACATTATTAAAGTGACATGATTGCATTTTGAAACAGGCCCATTCAATGGCTCTCACCTCTGTCCAGTCCCCTGTGATCCATATGAACTCACAGACGTGGGTATTACAGCGCTCAGAATCATCTGGCCTTCTCTGATCCACACAGAACATCTCATGGACCTCCTCCCCTGTCTGGTCCATACACAGCAGTGCTCGACGCCGGTGGCCCGACCCACACGACTTACTACACTGGAATGGAAGCGGGAACATCACAAACAATGAGAAAAGCAATGTTAATGTCGTCGAAAACAACCCCAAGATCCTTCCCATAGCCCTTATCTGAGTCTTCAGATTTGAAAAGACTGAAGGGGTGGGGTTAGGGTTTGTTTTCAGCACCAGCAAAAGGTTGGTTCCAAATGTCAAGGCGATTTATGTACAGATTTATTTTATGTTTGATTTAAGACCCCTCCCTACATTGAATATGAAAAACAGGAGATAAGAGGTGGACATTTTTACTGAGCCTGACCACTAATGGTAATACTACAACACTAGGATTTGCACCATTTCACTGTACGACTTCTTACAGTATGAGAACTTGTTGATCTGACACAGTCTTAGACAAATATGCTGGATGAAGAGTGAGAATTGACAAAATAACATGATGGCAGTGTGCTATGGACATAACAGCAGTGTGTTGTGATGTGTTTATAGTCCTGACTGACTGAAGCTGAGTGAAGTCTCAGGCCATCACCCTGGTTCTCTACATCCAGATGTATATAGTAACTCAAGTGTTGTGATGCTGTGGGACTGTGTTATGGTGGTAATCCAAGCTACAAGCTTTTTTTGGAAGGGCTTAGAGAGGCCTTGCCTTGCGTCAGAAACACTTCAGCTCTTATGAATGCACTCCAGCTGGTCTTCATCTACCTTATGCGTCCAACGCTGTCAAACAACTAAAATACCTGGAATTGTTGTTGGGAGCTGAGAAGCCATGGTGTGCCTTAGTGGAATGTAGCCTGCCATAGCACGCTGTTGAGTTTGGGCTAATATAAAACCATTCTACATATGTTATTATAACATTATAACTTTAACAGCTCCAAGTAGCCTATACCTACAAAGAACTATATTGGACAGATGGACAGAGTAACATAGCCTAGCTCATAGAATGATATATTATATCTCCTAGTTATTAGAATGAGTGGCATAGCCTATGTTATTACAATATATTTTGAGAAAAATAAAGAACAGTTTTCCACTAAACCCTTTCCTCAAGCTCTCAGGTTAACCGGCAAAGGAGGAAGGCCATATCGGCTGGTCCAGAAACTAGGTCTTACCCATAGCCCACTTAAGCACTAGGCCTAAAAAGGACAGGATATGGCGGAAATTAAAATGCGTCTAGCTCTCAGAGCACATGTTTGAGCTATTGCTTGCTGTAGGCCCCCTACCTGTCAAATTATTTGAGGTCTGCATGAAGCGTATTGAGGTATAGCAGCGGCTAAACAGACTAGAAAGGCACAAGGAGTTCCCGCATCTGGAACTTTAGGTGAGGCAACTTGAACTAGTCTCGAAAACCTGACCCTAGGCAACAGTGACTGCTTAGGGTCGAGTTTTCGAGACTAAACTTGACCCGCCAAACGTCCCACAGCAGCATGAGGTGAACTGCCATAATTACCTCCAGCTGTTTGCAGCATGAGGGGGTGCCGAGGCGGTATTTTCTAAGCAGAGCTCTCTCGACTAATTAGGCTACACTCTCCTCTAAGTGCAGTGATTTCATGCTGTTTGTTGACCTAGATTTAAGGCTTCCTGAACAAAAATACTACTTTGTTTAATGCACCCTTTAAAACCAAAAAGTCTGAAAACCCCCAACCAACATAGTCTGAGAACAGTGTTTGATAGCCTGCTGATCATGGGCCTATCTTACACAAATAAAATTAGTTGATGAGATCAGATTGGGTTGAGGTACTATGTTCAATAAACATTTTCTTAAGAAGTTGAATCACAGTACGCCTCTGAAGCTCGTATCCAGTATGTTTTCAGATCTATAGGCCTACCGTATTTGTAAAGGAGGTGAATCCTGCAGGGGAAATATGAGAGAAAGATTTTTATCACAGGCACTGCTCTCACACATATGGAATTACTTTTGTGCCTTTAATATCAAACAAACCTTTTGAATTTGTGAACAAAATTCTTATTATTGCAAACAAAAATTATGATATTGAAAGCAAAACTTTAACACAAAAATTTTGAGAGTAAAATTAATAATATTACAAGGAAATAATTTTGAAAGGCAAGAACAAATGAATTGTCAATGAATGCAAAAAAACATTTTCAGTGAAACACTTTCAATGATAACCTGATTGCGATGAAACGCTTCCCTCTTTGCCTGCAATTTTTTTAAATCTTTGGTTACGTTACCTTGACATTTGCTTTCCCTGCCTTTTTTTGCATTTGAAAAGTTTTGGCACATTAATTCCATGTAGCTGGGGTTTAGAGGGAGGCATAGATGATGAGTATCTGTTGGTCAACCTGTTTTGGAGTGAGAGTTCATCCTCATTTTATTTATCCCAGCTAACGTTAGCAGCTTAAAACAATGGCCAGTACAGCTATGTTAGATAGCTAGCTAGCTAGCTGGCAATGATGAGAGACAACAGTGTTTTCTGCTAACTAGCCAGCTAGTGTATGAAAAAGCTTGATTGTTTTTTATTTATTTCCATTTTGGATAAAAAGGGCTCAGTGGCTACTAGCTAGTCACTGGGACTGACTAGCCTAGCTAGCTAGCGTTACCTTTACATCAATGAGGACATCGGGAAACACCCTTAGGTGTCTTTTGTGTTTCACAATTTCACATTTAGAAAATGTATTGAAACAATTCGCAAGCTAGCTAACTAGCATGGTTATATAATTTCTATCACAGCCAGCAAGCAAGATATGATGCACTGAAGTTACTCTAGTGGCATGTGGCTATTCAAGAACAAGAGCACTACTAGGGGACTCCAGTGCTGTATGGCCATGGGTTTTCGAGAGCCAGGCTACTATCTGAAAGCTTTTACAGTGTGCATGTACTATAGACAATTTTGTTTAGCATTTGCTAATTTTTTTGTGGCCTGGCTTTCATACTGTCTCTCCTGTCTGCTTGCCTGACTGCCTGTCTGTCTGTTTAGGAGTTCCAGATGTGGTTGGAAGAAAGTGGTGGCGGACAACAGTGGAGGGCATCTTCACTCAGTAGTGAGCACATGTAGGAGCTAATCCTCATGGAGTTCATCTATACCAGCTGATAGTAGGTATCCTATATTAAGTAGGCCTACTACTACTTGGATTGATAGGAGGTAGAGGTTGCAAGCATAGAGGTAGACAGTATTTTACTCTATGGTTGCAAGTCATTACAAGTAATTACTTGGCACTGATTCTCCTCATAGGCAGTACCAATTTGGTTTGACCTAAAAGTAATGTTACTGTGTGAGTTGCATCCCGATTCTTCACCCTTCTCCCAAAGTGTGCACTTGCACACTTTCTTGCATGGATTTAGCAATGCTGGAAAATCCCTCCTGCCAATGCTTGCACACCTATCCTATGCTATTAAATCCATGACGAGGAGTGTGCAAGTGCACACTTCAAGAGAAATGTGGAGAAGTGTGCACTTTAAATAATAAAATAAAAATCAAGCTGTTTTATACACTAGCTGGCTAGTTAGCAGAAAACACTTTTGTTTCCTCAAGGTCTCAGGTTAACTGGCAAAGGAGGAAGGCCATATTGGTGGGTCCAGAAATGAGGCCCTACCCATAGCCCACTTAGGCACTAGGCCTAAAAAGGACAGGATATGGCGGATATTAACATGCGTCTACACTTACGTCATTTAGCAGACGCTCTTATCCAGAGCGACTTACAGTTAGTGAGCGCATACATTTTTTATACTGGCGCCCCGTGGGAACCAAACCCACAACCCTGGCATTGCAAACGCCATACTCTACCAACTGAGCTACATCCCTGCCGGCTATTCCCTCCCCTACCCAGGACAACTGTGCACCACCCCATGGGTCTCCCGGTCGGCTACAACAAAGCCTGGATTCGAACCAGGATCTCTAGTAGCACAGCTAGCACTGCAATGCAGTGCCTTAGACCACTGCGCCACTTGGGAGATGTCAATTGCCAGAGCACATATTTGAGCTTTTGCTTGCTGTAGGCCCCCTACCTATCAAATTTAGATCTGCATGAAGCATACTGAGGTATATATATATATATAGATCTGCATGAGTGGCGCAGTGGTCTAAGGCACTGCATTGCATTTGTTCAAGCAAAAGCTCAAATATGTGCTCTGACAGTTGACATCTCCCAAGTGGCGCAGTGGTCTAAGGCAGTGCTAGCTGTGCCACTAGAGATCCTGGTTCGAATCCAGGCATTGATGTTGCCGGCCGCGACCGGGAGACCCATGGGGTGGCGCACAGTTGTCCTGGGTAGGGGAGGGAATAGCTGGCAGGGATGTAGCTCAGTTGGTAGAGCATGGCGTTTGCAATGCCAGGGTTGTGGGTTTGTTTCCCACGGGGCGCCAGTATAAATAAAATGTATGCACTCACTAACTGTAAGTCGCTCTGGATAAGAGCGTCTGCTAAATGACTAAAATGTAAAATGCATGAAGCATACTGAGATACATATTTATTTAACCAGGTAAGCCAGTTGAGAACAAGTTCTCATTTACAACTGCGACCTGGCCAAGGTAAAGCAAAGCAGTGCGTAAAAACAACAACAACACAGAATTACAAATGGAATAAACAAAACGTACAGTCAATAACACAATAGAAAATCTATATACAGTGTGTTCAAATGTAGTAAGTTATGGAGGTAAGGCAATAAATAGGCCATAGTGCAAAATAATTACAATTATAATTTAGTATTACCACTGGAGTGATAGATGTGCAAAAGATGATGTGCAAATAGAGATACTGGGGTGCAAATTAGCAACATAATTAACAATGTAAATAACAATATGGGGATGAGGTAGTTGGGTGGGCTAATTACAGATGGGCTGTGTACAGGTGCAGTGATCGGTAAGCTGCTCTGACAACTGATGCTTAAAGATAGTGAGGGAGATAAGTGTCTCCAGCTTCAGAGATTTTTGCAGTTCGTTCCAGTCATTTGCAGCAGAGAACTGGAAGGAATGGCGACCAAAGGAGGTGTTGGCTTTGGGGATGACCAGTGAGATATACCTGCTGGAACGCATACTACGGGTGGGTGTTGCTATGGTGACCAATGAGCTAAGACAAGGCGGGGATTTACCTAGAAGTGATTTATAGATGACCTGGAGCCAGTGGGTTTGGCGACGAATATGTAGTGAGGGC